AATATCTTCACAGCACATGTACTGACAGACAGCCTAGTATCTGTCGGATACGTGCATGTTAGCTTTTGTTACTAAACAGCACACATAACGATAGCCGTAATTAGAATTTGAACAAGTTGTCCTGCCTTTTCAAGAAAATTCCTTCACCTCTACTCTCACCTTTTCTTTTTCTCTCATTCTGTCCAAAAGCCGACTATGCATGCAATTGGACTTTGAGCTTCGGAACTGGATAATAGATTTGTCAAATCTGTCACAAAAGATCTGTTGTGACAAACAACCACTGGCAAAATTTCAACATCAAAGTTTGCTTGGTTGCCGAGCTGAAATATCCGGAAAAATGCATACTTACACCTACACACACACCCCCAAATACGCAAACAAACATACACACACATCTTGAGCTGTTACAATGTGCGTTTTTGCATTTATATGCATGATAAAACTCATAACCCAGGCTGGAACGCACCAGGCTTGCCGGTGCGAGCATGCATTTTTGCACTAAATTCGCAGATCGCTATTAGCAGGAATGATCCCTACGTTATAGCCTAACAATTGGACTCATATTGGCCGTGCTTTAATCCTTTTCGGCATGCAGGAGGAAGGGCGTCAGTTGGGATGAAGGTGGTGCATTATAGAGCTGCACGGACATCCAGGTGCATGCTTATCGGTTGCGTTTTTGCCCTGCAGCACTAGAGCGCTGCAACAGACAGCAAAAACGCATATCGCAACGACCCCGTCAGTGTGTGTGTGTGTGTGTGTCTGTGTGTGTGTGTGTGTGTATTAGGTTGCAGCCTCCAGGTCAATCCTGGAGGTAGAGATGATGAGATGTGGAAGTAGACAAGAGTAATGTAGGTAGGGAGTAAGCGCGAGCTAAGACGTTTCGGTCCATTAAGTCATATACGTCTTAACCCGCCACTGGGACTGGACCTTGTCAGCATGACGGTCGCAGTGGATATGGAAGAAGGAAAAAAGAAAAAAGGGGAGAAAAAGGAAAAAGAAAAAAGAAAGCGATGGACGTGTGGAGGTAACGAAAGAGTATTTGAGAAGACAGAGGTTAATGAGGAAGAGGAGGTAAGAAAGATTGGAAGGGTGGAGAGAAGGGGGAGGAGAGGGGGAGTTAAAGACAGAAGGGTATTAGTAGGGCTGCATAAAAATAAAAATCAAAAATATAAAAAGGTAAAAATTTTAACAGTTTTTGGGATTTAAAAATGCTTAAGATTTGAAAAAATTAAAAGGGTAATAGCAAACCTCAATGTTGGAGGTTTTGCCATTGATATTGTCGTCCCCAATTTGCTTGTTACGCTTGCCGGAGGCCATATCTGGAATTTGAAGGCAAATGTGCGAGGTACGTGAATGTAAATATACGTAAGCAAATAACATGACGCCATAGGTTAAACAGCAATGAAGAGTATTAGGTTACACGAGTAAGCTACGTAGCAGACGGTGACAATACGGGGCGGTAGGGGGAAAATATTTGGAGAGTTGTAATCGATTTCTGTTTATAAAAGTACGAACTAAACGTTGAAGACGATCAGGATGGAAACCTTTAGCGGTGTAATCAATGAAGAGACGCTGTGCCGAACGTGTGAATCCCTGAGGAGAGGACTCAATACGTAAATAGCGAATCAGCTGGCTATATATAGTTCCGTTGTGAATCGATGGGTGTACATTGCTGTGGAGGGAACAGAACCTATTGATAGGGAAAGTGAAGTAGTGACTTTTGCAATAAAGAGTAGATATTATGTAGCCTTCTTCGTGTATGGAAAGGGTCATGTCTAGGTAGTCAACGGAATTACCGGAACCAGTGATTTCGATGTCCAGGTGTTGGCCGTATATCTGTGATAGAAGGAGATGAGGATCCGTACAGTTAAGCATGAGTACATCGTCGACGTATCGACATAGTAGGACGGGAGGGTTGCTGGGAATTCGGCTGAACTTGAACTCAAGTACTGAGAGGGTGAGATCGGCAATGTCGGAGCTAGCATTACCGCCCATGGGGATACCATTGGCTTGACGAAAGATGTAGCCGCTGAAACGCACATAGGCTTCGCCGACGACCGTGTACAGCATACTGGCGATTTCCGAAGAACAGTAGGTTGTACCGTGACCAAATCCTGTTGCATGGCTGACGTAATGAATAGTCTTGGTGGTGGCATGTAAACTGTCAGCGTGGGCGTTGTGAAAGCATAAGGAGAAGAGGTAACCTAGTACGTCGTAAATGACGTGATGAGGGAGTTTTGTGAACAAAGTTGAAAAATCTGCCGTGTGAAAGCTGTGAACTAGCCTACAACTAGTAACAAATGTGATGACTTCGTCAGAATTTCTGACACTGCAGCAGAGGCGTTTGCGTAACCTACGTTGTAGTACTAAAGCGTAGTTGCAGAGATGGCGGTGAAAGAACTGTAGTACCCGATGAAGAAGAACACTTAAGGGCTTGATGCTAGAGAGTACCGCAGACGCGATAAAACGGAAACTGTAGGGGGTTTTATGGAACTTAGGAACAGCATAGATTAGGGGTAGGACCTCGTTTTCATTATCTAGTTGAAGGTGGAAGCTCTGGAGGAGGAGATCGTGGCGAGCTAGAATATGAGCAGCAGTCTCGTTAACCGGGTGATAGGTGTCATTACCAATCACGTCAACATTGTACAATATGCCTAGTTCCTGTCTCAGCACCGTTATGTAAAACGATTTGCAAATGAAAGCGAAATTGTTGTGCGCTTTATCGACAGGTGTAATTACTAGCGAACGTCGTTGATTCTGAGCCCGGGCCAGAAGCGTAGAAGTGTTTGCATTGCTAAGAGGACGACCATCAATGTAGAAGCTCTCAAGACGACGAGCATAAAACAGCAAATCGTTACGAAAAGCCGTAGCGCTCGACAATTCTATACGATATCTGCGAACTAGCAACCGAATGTAGGATGTGATGGTTGTGGAAAAGTGATCGAGAACTTCAGTGGGGTACAGATTTCGAGGTATACGGAAACTGCACCCTATGTTTGTGTGTGTATGTGTTCGTCTGTCCGGGTATTTCAACTCGCCAATCACGCAAGCTTTGAAGCTAAAACTTTGCCAGTATGTTCCCCACTCAAGTGTCACCCCAGGACCGCGGTACCAACTCTCACTTACGTTCGGGCCCAACGTACGAGCACGTGAAAGTTTTGGCGAGAAAATTGATAACTCGAGAACGAGAAAAGCTAGAAAGCTAAAACCGCACAGTAATGTTCCCTACTCGTGAGTGACAAAAATATTTCAAATTCAGCTGCTCAGAGCTGCCCGGAACTTAACGTACGGGCGCGTAAAAATTATGGCGGGAAAATTCATAACTCATGGATGTGAGGAGCTAGAAAACTGAAACTTTGGAGGAATGTCCCCTACTCACGCGCAACCAAAAGTTTTCAAATTCAGCTCCTTAGTACCGCCCGTGGCTCACGTACGGGCACGCGAAAATTACTAAGCCAGGAACGGAAAAAGCTAGAAAGCTGAAACTTTATGGTAGTGTTCCCTACTCATGTACGAGCAGAATCAATTGTTTAGAAGCGCCCGGGCCCATGTACGAGCGCGTAGAAATTTTGGCGCGAAAACTACTAACGGGAAAAGCTAGAAAGCAGAAATTTTCCGGGAGTGTTCCCTATACCGAGGCCCACGTACGTATATGTTAAAGTTTTGGCGCGGGAATTAGTAACCGGGGAACGGAAAAAGCTAGAAAGCTGAAACTTTAGGGCAATGTTCCCTACTCATACACGAGCAAAATGTTCCCTACTCATGTGTTTAGAAGCACCCGGGGCCCACGTATGGGCACGTGGGAATTTTGGCGCGGAAATCACTAACCCAGGAACGGAAAAAACTAGAAAGCTGAAACTTTAGGGTAGTAACTCCGTAACGAGAAAAGCTGGAAGGCTTTAATTTTAAAGGAATGTTCCCAACTCATATGCGACTAAAAGATTTCAAATTTAGCTCTTCTAGTGCGGCCTTTTTCGCGGACCAGCAACTTTCCATTTGTCGTGTCACTGAAGTCGAAGTCTGCAACTGACATGCCACATACCTGCACAATCAACCTCCCGAACTATGAGGACCAGTATGTCACAGGGCTAGTTACTGTGATTCCTTGCGATCTTGCTACGGCACGAAAAGTGCAAAACGCATAATCGCACTGGCCCGCCTGGTGCGTCCCAGCCTGGGTTTGCATGAATTCCGGCCGTTTTTATGCGTTTTTGCCTATATGCAAATTGCAAAAACGCATATTGGGACGACCCTGTTTGTGT